ACCGTACCATGTACTGTACACCCCCCGCCAGAAGGGTAGGTACAGTACCTATCACATGATGCGTTCACGTGACCGTATCACGTGCGGGCTTCGGATCACGGCGCGAGGCGGGCGGCGGGATGATCGGCGGGCACTCAACGACGTTCGGGGGAGTGGCATGGCTCTCGTGGGCCTCCCCAAGGGCTGCATCTTTGGTGGTGCTAGTGACGGACTTTTGCAACAATTTTAAAGTCATTGGGCCATTGTGAGGCTGCTCCAAAAGGTGTCTAAATCCAAAGCCATTGTGGGGTCAAAACCTGCTACTCTGGGGCCCATTAGCGTTGAATCGTGTCCTATTAGATCCTTGGTAGTTTAATATGCACGCAGACGCAAGAAAACCGGGAAAAAGCCCGAAAAACAGGCAAAACGCGCCGTGTGGCGCAGGTCACATGTTTCAATCACGTGCCGGTACAGTACGGTACAGTACGGTACGGTACACCCCCCCTGATTTGGGCATAGGTACGGTACCGGTACTGTACCCCCCGGGGAGCATAGGTCCGCCACCCTAGCCAGTTTCAAGTGTGATAATTGATTGTGGGAGGCTGGGAGTTGTAAAAGGCAAAACAAGTGACAACCGTGAGATTCGAACTCACGCCCCGAAAGACTAGAGATAAGTGTACCGTTGAAAGGTTCCTAAATCTAGCGCCTTAGACCACTCGGCCAGGTTGCCATGATGTATTATCAGGGTCATGCTGGTGTATATATTTGCACAAATTCGGCATCCTTCTGCACATTTTGGCCGTTTTCATGTGATAACGGCAACCGGGAACCCCCACTCACAAAAACAAGGTCAAGGTCGCGCAAGCGACAAACGTCCTCCAACGTTCAGCGAGTGCGGAATATGTAATCAGAGTTACCAGATATCGCTACTTAACTTCACTTGGAATTCAGTCGCAAAAGCAAAATGACAACTGTGAGATTCGAACTCACGCCCCGAAAGACCAGATCCTGATTCTGGCGCCTTAGACCGCTCGGCCAAGTTGCCATGACCAGTCACCGCCTTGCATATTCTGATCGACCGGTCTATCGGCCCGAATACTTCTTCCTCACGAGATGCATATTAACACCTCTGACTCTTGCCATCATCATGCGGTACTACGCTGTTGCGCTAGCCGCAGCGGTACTGCCCCAAACTCACGCATTTCTTGGACGCCTGCATGGACCCCAAGGCGTCAACCAGTGGCGCTTAGAAGAGCAACAAGCGCGTTCAAAGCTAGTCGTACAGGACGCGTTCGACTTGGTGGAAACCGAATTCCCTGCGCAGTGGTTCGAACAGCCACTAGACCACTTTGACAAGAGTGTCCGAGATACGTTCCAGCAACGCTACTGGGTCAATACGCGACATTACGATCCCAGTGTACCTGGCCCGGTATTCGTGTTGGACGGTGGGGAGACTAGTGGAGAGGTAATATACGCCCTCTTTCTCGCAAAGTGTCTGTCTAACTGAATCTAGGGCCGCTTACCTTTCCTTGACACGGGCATTGTCGAAATACTGGCGCGCGCTACGGGTGGTGTGGGTGTGGTACTTGAGCACAGATATTATGGTATGTCGTGTGCCGCACTTATCTGTTGCTCTATTAATGAATCGTCGTAGGAGAGTCCATTGCTGTCCAGAACTTGACAACCGACTCCTTGAGGTCTGTATAATCATGTTTCCCTCTCTACATTGCTCAGACTATCCTAGATTCCTCACCAACGAGCAATCCGCGGCAGACAGTGCAAACTTCATGGCTAATGTCAACTTCACCTCTGTCGGAATTACGGAAGACTTGACCGCGCCTGGCACCCCTTGGATCTATTATGGTGGCTCGTACGCTGGCGCTCGTGCAGCTCACATGCGAGTTCTATACCCCGAGCTCACCTATGGCGCTATTGCATCGAGTGCCGTCACACATGCCGCTATTCTCTTCTGGGAGTACTCCGACCTCATTCGCCAGGTCGCTGATCAAAAGTGCATCAACCACATCATCAATACGGTCGACACAGTCGACCGCATCCTAGGCTACTCGCATGTCAAGGGTCCGTTCAAGAAGTTATTCGGTATCACGGACCTCGAGCACGATGATGACTTTGCATCTCTTCTCGAGGTAGGCCTATGCGTCTTGGACCTGTAGAATGTTTCTCAGCCATATATAGAGCCCTATTGGATACTGGCAGGCAAAGTGCTGGGATCCAAAGTACGGAAGCACGGGCTTCGACGACTTTTGCGAAGCCTTGTCCAAGCCGCCTGTGGGTCATATCAGCGCTGCCGCCGACTTGCCCTTCGACCACGAATCGCGTATGGTCGGCGTGGCGGAGGACTTGAGGGTTGACTTTACTGTCCTCAACTACGCCAAATGGGTTAAAGAGGTTTGTAAGCACTTGTGCTCTCTGTGACCTTTTCTCACTGTCCCGCAGAACGTCGTCGCATCATGCCCCGAGGACTCTACTCAAGAAGAATGCTTTGGCACGCACGACGCGTCCAAGTTCCAGACTTATAACCTCAGCCAAGAATGGCGTCTCTGGATGTTCCAGGTCTGCACGCAATGGGGGTATTTCATGACCCGACCCCCGTTCAACGACTACCCCAGCATCGTTTCAAGACACATCACTCTCGACTACGAGAGCAAGATCTGTCGCCAGGCGTATCCGCCAGGAGAGCATTTCACTGTCCCGACGATGCCAAACATCAGTGCGGTGAACGCGTTGGGAGACTTTGACCTTGCAGCGGACAGGCTGGCGTTTATCGATGGGGGGATAGACCCATGGAGACCAGCGACACCTCATTCCGACTATGCGTTGGATAGGGAGGATACTCTTCTCAGGCCATTCAAGACTATTCCCAGTAAGTTAACGTTCGGGATAGTCTTTCGCAGCGTAGCTGATGCTCTTGTAGACGGTGTACATCACTACGACGAGTGGGGCTACAAGAACCTTGCTGATGAGCCTGCTGAGATCAGGAAGGTCCATGGCGAGATGATTGCGTTCGTGATGGAGTGGCTGAAGGATTGGGTCCCGCCAAAGAAGACATCTACCTAAGGTGTATGAACAATGCGATGCCTATAGCTGTTATGGCATAATACAATGATGAGTCATTTGAACCTTTTTGTTGTCCTCGTGGATGCTTCCTTGCACAGCTTACCCAGAATGGTCGAGCACTTCTCTTTGTTCCCATGGGTCCTTGTCTGCTGGACCGGTGTGATCGACAGCTGGCCCATTGTTAATAGGCGATCGAATCTATATAAAAGTGGTCAGTGATTCATCCATCCATACTCTTAATCGTGACCACCACAACCGACACAATTACCACCATCACAATGCCGACAACATCCACCTCAATCAGGTCCGGCAAGTTCTTGTCGAACAAAGTCATTAAGACTGGCACCAAGGAGGACCCTTATGTTATTATTGACGACGAGCCGGAGAATGCGCCCATCGACGTTATAGAAATACTCAGCGACGATGATGTCGAAGAAACAATACATCCCCACCACCACCAGCAGTGCAGTATCCCAGATTGGTTAGCAAAGTCCAACGACGAAGAGAGGTTAGATTCACTTGTTGAATAACATGGAATGTCTTCTCATCATCCGCGTTTTCAGAGTCCTCTGGGGGATATTTATCTCGGCGTTCCCGCTCAGCACACCCTCCCGCGGCGCACAAGTCGCACAGTTCCTCTCCCTTAAACATCTCATTATTGGATGTGGTGTATACAGAACGCAGGCGTTCTGCCGTGGGTGTGGTAATACCTTCAAGCTCGGGGAACCATATGGGTTAGAACAAATGCACAATCACGCCTTGGGGTGCAGGGAAGTGTTCGAGGTGTGGGCACAAAGGCGAGAGGCGTTAAGTATGGACGTGGAAGTATAGGTCTACTATGCTGCCTTGAGGGACAATATGTACGCGTGTGGGTCCAATTCGGAGTTTGGGTGATATGTAGTAAATCAACTAGGGATACAGTAAAGGGGAAAAAGACAAGAAATAAACACTATGTATTATGTAGAACAACAGTATGCTATGTTTGATACGCAACGCGAATCAAGGTCACTTGGAATTGAGAGCACCACCGACATCTTGAAGAGAGATGGCAATGGAGATGGGACGTTCGTGCAGAGGAGAAGGAGTGGTCATAGACGGCGTTGATATGTTGTCAAACGAAATGGCACTGTCTCGTTTCAACCACGCCCGCCCGCGGTACAGAGGAAGAAGCGTATTAGCCTTACTACTCCCTCCAGCAACAAACGACCTGCGTGACCGTCATGTCAGCTTTTCATTCTCCTGTTTGAGAGAAACGGCAACGCACTTGATCGTATTCGAGCTTGTATTGAACGTGCACTTTGTCGATACCTTCTGCCAGACGCGCGAGCCAAGGACTTGCCCCAACACCGTGCTATAGTTGTTGCGCGCTTGCTCCGTCAGCCCGAAGAGGGCGAAGAACAGAAAGGCGGCAAAGACTGGGGTCCAGCGGCTAAGCTCGAAAAGGATATGTACTGCTGGGGATGCCGTCCAGAGTGCCTTCGGGGTGATGCTTGGAGTCCAGTATCCCTCGTGCAGCCATGCCCAACCGCGCCATGGAAAGTGCTGTCCTTCTGCGTTGAGCATGAGGGAGAAGCATGCTATCGGTACGGTGATAAAAATGTCGATAGACGCGATGGCCATGAGTCGGAAGTAGTGGTTCGAAGACATTCCGCTTGACTTGCGAAGAACATCATTGAAGCTCTTGCGTTGACGCTTAAAGTGACATATCGAGAGGACTAGGGTGCGGGTCAGCGGAAGGCAAGGATGGCAGCGAAGTATGCACGCACCACAATAAGATGAAGAAATCAGACCGATGATAATGGGTGGGGCAAGATATAAGGCATAGAGCGGCCAGGAGCTATGTAACACGGCAACGCAACCGTAGTCTTCATTGATACCGTATCGCGCTCCAGAAAATACGACAGCTACATCTTGGTGAGAATGGCACGTCAGCGAGAGGAGCTTAATCACGCACTGAGCAAAGAGAATACCGCAGGGACAACGAAGCAAATGAACAAGTCAACTGCAGCGTCGCGACGAGGCTAATGGACGTGTTTAGTATTGTTCTGTCCGTATACGAATTGCTCACGTTTCCTACGAGCCTGCCCGTTTGAGCCTTTGAAGCGATGAAATATAGTCTCCGGTTGATGCACAATGAACACAGAGGTAGGGAAACGACGAGGCCGGTGATAAACCGAACCGCTTCTGCAAGTTAGCACAACTGAGTTATAGAGTATATAGTCAAATAACGCACAAATATCGCACCAGCCAACACCAGACACAATGCTGTTATCATTCCAGACGATAGCGTTTATTCCGAATTGCAGACATCCAATGCCCACCCAAAACATCAGGGCACACGTCCCGATGTTGCCAGCTAACACTATTAGAGCACGAAAAAGGATCTGCTCTATCAACACACCTTGCATATGCCATGGTAAAGGAATGAAGGAGAGCACAAAGCCAATGAGCGAAAACACAGCGTAGAGAAGGGTCTCAGCAGACATGAATCAAAGAGCAATTAAAAAGGTCGTGATGTGGGAAGGAAGGAAAGAAGAAAGGAATGACACGTCATGTGGGCTGGAAGTCATTATAAGTTAAGCGCACAAAGGAATCCGGATGGGGAGTTGGGCAAGAACAAACCATGGCATTCTCGATTTGGGTGTTGCTTTC